CCTCCAGCTCCCATGGATCATCTATGCCCTAAAGGTGACAGCGTTTGCTGTACTTCCCCCAGAAGCTTAAGACTTTTGTCCCACAAGAGGCTTTGTGCTTTTCACAGGGGTTACCTGCTTCCTTTCCCTGGGCCTGCACCACGAGGGAAGCTTTGGGACTCGCCCTGTCCCCAGTCTCTCTCATGAGCACTGGTGAGGTCCCCGAAGAGCTCATGAGACAGTGGGTATAAATTCCCCTGCGTCTGGAGCTCCCAGAGGTCCTGTCTTCTTACACCAGCCCACACTCAGCCATTGGTTAAGAATTTTCACTAAGTTCTTACCAGCTTGTATGACATCTGGTGTCTCCAGCAGCTAAGTAACTACCTGTGTCCTGTCTCTCCTTAGAGGATCCTTTGTTTCCTTAGATTTTGAGCTAGGTGGTTGTGCTGCAACCACAGGTCTATGATGCTCTGAGAAAAAGTTGTGCTTTCATAGATTAGTTAGCATTTTTTTTACTGTGGATTTAAAAATGAAAGCAGCCTTGGGGCGCCTGGGTGGCGCAGTTGGTTAGGCGTCCGACTTCAGCCAGGTCACGATCTCACGGTCCGGGAGTTCGAGCCCCGCGTCGGGCTCTGGGCTGATGGCTCAGAGCCTGGAGCCTGTTTCCGATTCTGTGTCTCCCTCTCTCTCTGCCCCTCCCCCGTTCATGCTCTGTCTCTCTCTGTCCCAAAAATAAATAAAAGGTTGAAAAAAAAAAATTTAAAAAAAAATGAAAGCAGCCTTTTCTAGTTTCTAGAAATTTCCCTAAAAGGAAGCCAGAAGTTCATTTTATAGTTTTTGATCATCCGTGAGTTTGAATTTTTTTTCTTACTGCACCTTAAATATCTGAACAATGAAAATCTAAGGCTGAGATACGGTGGTTGAGAAACTGGGTTTGAAATTTGGATTTAATGACACCTTCAGATAGACAGGTTCTTTCCTGTAGTTGCATCTGATCCAGGCTGATATAATTGTGTATCATTTTCCTGAGACTTGTAAGGAAAAACACAGATGACTGGAGAGCATTCACCTCTGCCAAATTAAGAGGTCTTCTTGCTGCTAGCCAGATAGTACAGTCTGAAAGTTATAGGAAGATTTCAAGTATTTTGAAGGTAAACTGATAATTAAAAGGGGGAAAAAAAGGGCCTCTTTATAGGGAAACCCAGCTGCCTGGAATAGCTACAGTGTTAACAATTACGTATAAAATATCTATAATGTGAAGTAATGCAAAATAAATTCCTGACCACGGAACTGATCCTGACGTGATTAGAGGCTACTTTGAGGTTTTTCCCTCAGGGCTTGGCAGTGAGGCCACAGTAGCTTTTAAGTTTGCTAGGAAATTGTGTAATTTCTTAAAGGAAGCTAGTTAGTCATAAACATCTATTGGACATCTATATTAGCTGTCATAGGATCCAAAAGGTTGTAAAAGACATAATTATTCTGAATAATTGTCAGAAAGGTGTCAAGTTCTTTCTGGACCCACTTCATCTACTGCAATTCCCAGTGATAATTTGCTATCATATCCCAGTCCTAGCTGCTGTGTTTTCCGCACTCTTCTGTCCTTCAGGGCTGGGACAAAGCCGACTGTAGATCTTCTAGTGTTCTCTCATGAACCTTCAATCCCCTTCCACCTGGCTAGGAAACCTCCTGACCACCCCCTCCCCCCCAACTCAGGTCGCAGAGGTCTCAAGCATCTTCCTGACACCCTCAAGCTACCTTTCAACCAGTTACCTGGTCGAATAAAGATGTCTTCCTTCATGCCCACAAAAAAATATGAGAAAAATTATCTATGCCAAAGTATCCCTTACCGACACACCTGTCTTATGATACACTTCATATAACTTTTGGTTCTTATTTTCTTTTTAATTAGAACAGAGAATGGCAGAATCTCAGGCAGGCATCTTCCCACCACCCTGCCTATGACTCTGTGAGCTGGCCACCCAGTCTGTATGTAGACAGACCCTTCTACCCTTCATATTCAAGATGAGGCTGCACATCCACTCTTAGAGCACGTTTTTCAGCAAGTGTAATGAGGTTGGTCTGTGTTCCACATATTCCTGTCTATTCCTCTTCATACCTGTGTTAGCTGTGCAATCTTCAGAAACAGAACAGATTTTTCTCCTCTCCTTTCTCCTGCTTGAATATCCAGCTTGGAATCTGAATGCGGATTTACTGTCTCAGGAGTATTTAAGAGGCACCAATCCCTATCCAAGGTTCTGGGGCTCTCAATACCACCATATTTCCTGGGTGAGAAAAGACTATTCTCTCTTGAATGTGAACGGAGTATAGAAGACCAGCGATCTCTGCCTGTCTCCTATCACCACTGAAGCAACCAACAGAACGAACAGAGGCACCACTCCTTCTTCTGGGGTGGGTGTCCTCAGGCCTGAGACATCCACGCACAATACTGCACAAGCCTTTACTGTGGGCCCACTCTACCATAGCACTGTGTGTGCTTGGCTCAACAGTTACCAAGATGAAAAAGACCTTCAGCAAATGAGTTCTCTGCAATCTGACCTTTGTAAGGAACTTGGTCTAAGTCCTCTGGAGATGAATTGAGGAGGCAAAACTGTAACCCCATACCTGCCTTGCATTTAGAAATACATGGCAGAGATGAGAAGGACCTAGAAGTTTAGCCAAGTCTTGGGTCCAACAAAAGTTGCGCATTTCAAAAGGAGTCTCCAATTATATTCATCTTATTTTGTACCCTCTATATAAGATTTGTTTTAATGAAAAGGTTCCCTTTTAGGGATATGTACAAGTACGCAAAGATATATAAGAGCGTATTTATTGAAGTGTTATTTGTAACTGGGAAATATTGGAAACAACCATATCCATCACTAGGATAATGAATAAATTATAGTCGAGTTATTTAATGGCGTACTGTACAGCAGAGAAAATTAACAAACTAGAACTATGTATAGGTACACAAATTTCCAACAGATAATGCTGATATTTAAAATAAAAATTGGAGGGGCTCCTGGGTGGCTCAGTTGAGCATCCAACTTCAGCTCAAGTCATGACCTAGTGGTTCATGAGTTCAAGCCCCACATCGGGCTCTGTGCTGACAGCTCAGAGCCTGGAGCCTGCTTTGGATTCTGTGTCTCCCTCTCTCTCTGCCCCTCCCCTGCTCACACTGTGTGTGTCTCTCTCTCTCAAAAAATAAATAAATGTTAAAAAATTTTTTTTAAGAAAAACTGGATGTGGGGTGCCTGAGTGGCTGGTTAAGCATCCCATTCTTGGTTCTGGCTCAGGTCATGGTCTCATGGTTTGTGTATGTGAGCCCCATGTCGGGCTCTGCACTGACAGTGTGGAGCCTACTTGGGATTCTGTCTCTCTGCTCCTTCCCCAAGCACACACACTCTCTCTCAAAATAAATAACCAAGCTTTAAAAAGTTTTAGAATACAATTGAATGCATAAATATATCACTTATTTGAAGTTTAAAGTGTTAAATATTATCCATTGTCTTAGAATATATATATGTAGTTAAAGCATAAAAACATGGATATGAGTGATGCATGTCAGTTTCAGAAAAGATTTCCCCTCTTGTTAAGAGCATGGGATTGGGTACATCAGGGTATATCAGTGGTATCTGCACCATTTCATCTTTTAATATGGTGGTATATAGGTGAGTGTTTGCCTTCTTCAGTATAAATTTTATGTCTGAAATATTTCATTATTAATACTTTTTGAAAGAAAGGGTTCTGTTGATTTTAAAAAGCTTGAAAGCCAATGAGCTAGGAAGGGGGGCTGAGGAATGCCAATACTCAAAGTTACAATGGTCTCCAAGCAAGCTATCTGGCCTTCTGGAGCAGTGGCTCTCAAGTCCTAGAAGGCCATGGCAAAATGCATATTTTACTCCTACCCCTATCCTTGATTCTATTTCATAGTCTGAGGTTTTCATTAAGAATCTCAGCAGTTCTAGTAGGTGTGGTGAGTATACCTTTGAGAAAGATATTCAAGGTAAGCAAGTGAAATCCCCGGAGATCCTGACCAGGAGAATCCACAAAGCTTTGCCACAGACTCATTGCTAATAATGATTCAGAGTTAAGCAGCATCAGAACTATGACTGTATACTGAACAGGGGTTATTCTGTTTCATGCTCGACATCATGAAAGCCCTTTGTGTGCTTTAGGGAGCAAGGGGCAGGGGACAGGAGATAATGTTAAGGTACAGGAGGGGGCAGTTAAAGTCCTTGAAATGAATACATTTTTATTTTCTGAATTAAGGAGGTACTAAATTTAGATAAATAGATTCATGGTAAAAAATTATCAGGGCTGGAACTAACAGTATATGGTAATTATATAAACAGCTGTTTGACATTCATTGGGTAGAGATGCTGTTATATCCTCATTTCCTCCATTATTAAGATAATAAATGCTTTTAGCCTATCAAAAAATATAGAAAAATGTAGAGAAGTTTATAAAAATCACCATTAATATCACAACTGAAATAACAGCTGCTTGTTATGTGTGAACTGATTGATATAATGTTCACAGTTTGAAATTGGCCACGGTGGGAGTAATTACAACACAGAAATAGGCAAATGCTATAAATCAGCTCCTTGACTTCTACCCCAGATTCAGAAGTTAAATTTTTCCTAGCAAAGAATCGAGCCCATCTGACATACATAGTCCCCTCCAAATTTGTTTTTTTTTTTTTTAATGTTTATTTATTTATTTTTGAGAGGGTAGAGGAAGGGACAGAGAGCAGAGCAAAGAAGACAGAGAATCCCAAGCAGGCTCTGCACTGTCAGTGCAGAGCCCAATGCACTGGGCTCAAACTCACTAAGGAGATCACGACTTGAGCCAAAATCAAGAGCCAGACACTTAACTGACTGAGCCACCCAGGCACCCCTCCCCTGCAATTTAGATAATGTTATAAGGCTGTTCTGAAACTGCAAGTGTATATATGACCCAAGGAATTTTCTGAGTTATCTTGGGAAATTAATGGGATGATCCCTTCTTTATATTGTGTGTAGGGGGAGCAAGGACCTCAAGGTTTTCCAGGGCCAAAAGGCATGACAGGCCATGGCCTCCCTGGCCAGAAGGTAAGCATTTCAGGGCCTTAGAGAAATGCTTAGGTTTAGGATCTCAATAGCTTAACATAAACTTTAGAAGAACACTTCTACTGGTCATTTATCCTGACAGCTCTCAGAGGAAACAATCCATTTGAAAGCAGTTCCTTATGCATTTCCTTTCTTAACTATAAACATGCTTACTTCATAAAATCTCATTTTTTCATCCTTAAAAGCCAGCTGATAAAGGAACAAATCCTTACAACATACCACATAGAAAACACTGGATAACCCTGGTTAGAATGTTACAATAGTTGAACTTCCCGAAGGTAGCCAGCCGATCTGATAGTAACTCAAGATCTCCTCACCTTGAGACCCCCGGCTCATCATGAATTAGATTATGGTACCTGGGGGGTGGGGATGGGATCTAAATATAATGCTTGCCATTTTTTTCCGATAGTATATTTGTATCACCAAGCCCCACAGGTCTTTAAGAGATGCCGCTTGCAAACGAACCAAATTTTAGAGTTTGGCTTTAATATTTACGTTCTATACTTATTTTTTCACTATATTACAAAGGGAGAGCATGGAGAACGGGGCGCTATGGGAAAGAAAGGCGATAAAGGTGAAATTGGGGAGCCCGGATCTCCAGGGAAACAGGCAAGAAATGATTTTTAAAGTCTTAGTGTAATTTTATACATTAGCTTGTTCCAACCTACACTGACTGTTACTCTTCTTCCACTAAGTAGGGGTTACAAGGACCAAAGGGAGACGCAGGACTTACTGTGAGTATCCATCCTAGAGGGTAATTGAGGGTTTACATTTGCAAAATTATTACATTCATGTTTTAGCTTCAGAAGCATGAATTCTTTGGATGCAGAGCTCCAGTTGCTTTTTAAATTATATCACTGCTACAAGCCCAGTGTTGACTGGGCATGAGGTAACTGATCTGAGCGTGAGGGAGAAATAACACCAGGCAACCCTTACCCAGCCTCGTGGGGATATGCTGCTACTTCCCTCTGACCCCTGCTAGACATGGTAACAAGGAGGTGAGCTGTTTCAAAGAAGCCACCCGACCAGGTAACTTTTAATCTATGTGATTCTTCACGTTCCGGAATGGGAGTTCTGTTTCCTTGACTGGCTCCTTTAGGAAGTACTCTGAGAACAGCCATCACAAAATCGGGACTACTTTAAGGTACGGATTCACTTATTCCAGAGAACTTGTGAGGCAACGACAAACTTTTCCTTATTCTCCCCGCATCATTGCAAATAAAAAGCTGACTCATTAACGTCCCACGGGGTGGGAAAGTTTTAGAAATTCTGTGGCAAAGTCTTTTTCTTCCTTTCTCATTGGAAGGCACTACATCTCCTAGAGTGGAGAAGCAACAAGAACCTTCTCTTTTTTTTTTCCTCTTTTTGATTGTTCAGTGGGTCATGGTCTGAGGACAGTGACCCTATTTGCTGTGCTAAGTGAATCCAGGTGTAGGGGTTTGGGAGTTTAGGTGGTGATGGTAAGACACGAGAGCTGGGCATATGACAAACAGAACACATACTTTCTTTATGGCCTGTTTGCCTTTTCCTCTTTGCTCTTCCTCACCACAAGTCAGACACCCCCAGATGCCTATGGGCATGAAACAGCTGTGTGCACATCAATGCCTCCCCCAGAGTAGCAGGGAGAATGTATGTCAAATCCCCAGAGGAACATTCCCCATTGGTTTATACCCTCCCTCCTATCCCAACATGGGGAGAGGGCCTGACTTCCTTCATCCATTCATTTGTTCTCTCATTTCACCGACATTTATTGGGCATGTATTCTGAGTCAGGCTCTGACGTAGGTGCCAGGGGAATTGTCGAGAATAAAAGATTCTGTCTCTGAACTCAAGGAGCTCACAGCCCATTAGAAAGAAAGACAAGCAAACGATGTTCACCTGCAGTTTGATAAATGCTATGATCGGAGTAGATATGTGGATCCTGAGCAGACGAAATGATGTATGGTGATGCTTGGGGCCAAGTTAGGCTTTTATCTCCTGAGCAGAATTTTTTTTAATTTTATTTTTAATTTTTTAAAATTTACATCCAAATTAGTTAGCATATAGTGAAACAATGATTTCAGGAGTACATTCCTTAGTGCCCCTTACCCATTTAGCCCATCCCCCCCTCCCACAACCCCTCCCATAACCCTCAGTTTGTTCTCCATATTTATGAGTCTCTTCTGTTTTGTCCCCCTCCCTGTTTTTATATTATTTTTGTTTCCCTTCCCTTATGTTCATCTGTTTTGTCTCTTAAAGTCCTCATATGAGTGAAGTCATAGGATACTTGTCTTTCTCTGACTAATTTCACTTAGCATAATACCCTCCAGTTCCATCCACATAGCTGCAAATGGATGGAACTGGAGATTTCATTCTTTTTGATTGCCGAGTATTACTCCATTGTATATATTTATGCCACATCTTCTTTATCCATTCATCCATCGATGGACATTTGGGCTCTTTCCATACTTTGGCTGTTGTTGATAGTGCTGCTGTAAACATGGGGGTGCATGTGTCCCTTCGAAACAGCACACCTGTATCCCATGGATAAGTGCCTAGTAGTGCAATTGCTGGGTCATCGGGTAGTTCTAAAATTAGTTTTTTGAGGAACCTCCATACTGTTCTCCAAAGTGGCTGCACCAGCTTGCATTCCCATTGAGCAGAAGATTTTGAACCAAGAGGCAGAGATCTTAGAAATGGGGGTGTCATTCTGCTGATTTGGCTTTCTAGATTCTAGAAAAGGGCCTAGCAGGGAAGGATGAATGAAGGAAGAGAGAATTTTCATTAAGTGCGAATCTAGTATGTGACCGGTACTGTGTAGGCTCCTTCACATCAGTACCACCCTTACTGGGTAAGATGCCTGGGGGCTCCTTAGAGGGCCCACTCTGGACCTTTAGTACTTCTTCAGCTGTACCCTTTCCTGGGTGAGGAGTCCTCAGGGCCAACAAGAGTGACCACCCTGAGCTCATGCCCCCCCCCCTATGTTACACTCTGGACACACAGGATCCCAGAATTGCCTGCCTAAATGGCCCATTTGGAAAGCTGACAGCACTGACCTGTATGCATGGGTCCACCCAAAAGGTGGGCAAGGGGAAAGTGTTTTCAGGGAATTTGGACAGAGCTCAGAATTGAGGACTGTGTTCACTACATGAATACTGGCCCAGGTCCCATGCAGTGCAGAACTGGTGCGGAGAGGGTGCAATGAGAAGGGGACAGACTGTAGGCCACAACCCTCTCTTGCCCAAGACTCCATGTTAATCCATACGATAGCCCCGTGAGGTACTGTTATCTATACTTCAGTGAAAGACATGCTAAGTCAGATAGAAAGTTTGAGCCATATGCCTGAAGTCACCTTGCTAACAAGTAGCAGAACCCTTGTAGCCAAAGATGGCTTGTCTGGTACCAAATCTAGTCTGCTCCCCCACAAATGCTGCTCTTAGAAGGCCTCTTTCTTCTTCCCACCCACGCTCTCTCCTTGACCAAATATATCCCCAAACAGCTGTCAGTTGTAGATTCATCCAGATTAGCAAACTACTCTTTTAAGAGGCAAATACCAATGGCAGAGTTCGATGTTTTAATACTTCATGCCAAAAATTGCTTCAGAAAGACTATTTCTCTACCTGTCCCTTACATGTTCACGTTTCTCAGTGTCTGCCCTCAGTCTTCTCTCTCCTGGTCTTTAAACTCTCAGGAAGGGATAGCCATGAAAGGAAGGCGGGGGATGGGAGGGTTGTAGTTTGAAAAGGCTAATGTAATATCATAGTAAAGTTGAATGGAGGGTGAAAAAATATTGTCTTTAGATTATAAACATGGAAAAGAATATGTTCAACAAATGGGGGTATGGGGATACACTAGTTTAAAAAAGACTGAAAGGCTCTGCTCCATGAAATCTCATCTGCCATCAACAGTCAGCTGTACACTGGCTTTTCTTAAATCCGCCTCCAGTTTGAACTGCTCTCTTGAGCACCAGACCTTACATCTCACTGCCTACTGGACATCTCCAGCCACATGTCCCCTCGATGCATCAGACCCAGCCAGGCCCAAGCTGAGCCCCGGTGATCTTCATTAGCTCCCAGCCTGCCTAGTCCATTCTTCCCTACCTCTGAGAGTGTGCCATCACCATTTGTTTCCTTTGAGACTCCTTTTCCTCACCCTTTCTTCCAATTACTCACCAACCCCTTCATTTTCCCTCTGAAAGGTCTCTCCAGGCCAGCCCCTCCTACCCATCCACTGCCACTGCTGCTTTCTGGTGTCACTTTTTCCCCTGAACTATTTAGGAACCTCAACCCCCTCCACTGGCTGCCATGATCACCTTTTTAAAGTAAAATGTGATCAGATCTCTTCTCTGCCTAGGGACCATGTGTCTTCTAGCTGCCCAGGATAAAATTCACACCCTTCAACATGACACACAGACCTTCTAGAGTTCATCTGTCTTCCACATTTCCTGTCATCCTTTCTGCCATGTACCCTGAGTCCTAAGTTTACTCAAGTACTGTAATGCACTGTGCTTTGTGTACTTTGCCCCCTGCCTGGAATGTTCCTCCCCCACCTCCTCCTCCCCCAACCCCTCTACCCTGCCACCATTTCCTACCCCAACCTGCTCACAATCTACCTCCCTGGACCACAACCCCACCCTCATGCTCCCACCCCTGGAAATCCCAGCAGACCAACGTGGTTCTTTGGCTCCAACCCAATAGCATAGCACTTACAAAAGTACTTATTTGTCTACTTCTAATAAGAAGTACTATGAATCTTTTGATGGATATAAATTTGATGGCTTCATCATTGGCAAAAATAGCCAAAGTAGTCATTGGGCAATTTGAGTAGAAAAAAATAAAACAGTTTTAGTCACGTAAAAGCAAAGAATAGGAGGAAAAGATTGATATATGTGAGTACTTAAAGCATTTTAGACCCAGTTATGACATAAAAGCACAATGAAAAGCATTAGAATGCAACTTTGATATATATATTATTCTTATAAATCAGTGAAAGAGAAACATTTTAATAGAAAATAATGGACAAAAAACATACAAAGAATTTGCACACGAGGATACAACTTGGAAACATGCTTATGAAATAAAATTTAGCCTCACTGAGAATTGCATAAGTATAGTTTAAAATACTGCAAATTCTTGTTCTATCAAATGGCAAAGATTATGTAATAGTAATAACCAGTATTTTGTGTCTAAAATAAAACAGTTTTTCTTATAGACTGCTGTTAGCGGTGTCTGTTACAACTTTTTTGAATGTCACTTTGGCAGGATGAATCAAGAACCTTAAATGGTCGTGCATCTGACTTCAGTAATCAATTTTTTTAAATTTTTTTAAATGTTTATTCATTTTTGAGAGACAGACAGAGTGGGAGCAGGGAAGGGGCAGAGAGAGAGGGAGACACAGAATCCGAAGCAGGCTTCAGGCTCTGAGCTGTCAGCACAGAGCCTGACGCGGGGCTCAAACCCGCAGACTGTGAGATCATGGCCTAAGCCGAAGTCAGATGCTTAACTGACTGAGCCACCCAGGTGCCCCTCAAGTTTTTCAGAATACTTAATAATATGGGAAATTAATTATGCAATAATGTTAAGTAAAAACTATAATCATAAACTTGGTGTCAAGTATTTTCTCCACTTGTAAAAAATTGAACATAAATACATATATTTCCCCTTTCCAAATACATAATATAAATATATAAATATAGACATTTGCCTTTTCTAGACATGTCCTGGTTTCAGATTTATTAAATGCCTCTCTAAATGTGCTAAAATATGACAAGCCCCCACCCCCCTCGAAAGAGATATCAGTGATGTTGATGACTTCCTCATTTTATATAATTTTATAATATTGTATCTGGGAGTTCTTTTTAAATAGCCACTGGAATTATTGGCTTTTACTCAATTCAAATTAAAAATACAATTAAATTAAAGTGCCCTGAATATTTTCCATACGTGTTTCTGTTAAGTCACATCACCAACGATGTCATCTTTACCCCAATTCTGTCAGTATAGATTCTTTTCTTCAAAACTTTACTTTTGCAACTGTTAAATTTTTATCTTCTTAGATCAGGTTCATGCCTCCTTCCTGTTGAGATTTTCTGGGCTTCTATTAAGTTAATCATTCCTGTCACCTTCCTGTCTTCGGCAAATATAGAATTCTGCCTTCTGTCGCGTCATCCCAGTTATTCGTAAACGTGCTGCTCAGGGCAGAGCATTGGCAGCTTTATTTCTACTACCCACCTCATCCCAGGCTCTTCTGCTGGGGCTGATGGCTGCAGGACCAGGGGCATTCAGGAACATGGCGACACTTCATGGAAGTGCCAAAGTCAAAGTATTGGGAAGCTGGGAAGGAGACTTGCAAAACTGGACGGCGGTAGAGAAAAGAAAGAGGGAATACAGTGTAGAATGAATTCTCTTTTGGCCCCAGTACTTGTCTTGGTTGCTCAGCACATGTGGGTTAAATTGTGTAACTGATTGCACGCATTGCCCGCACCTTGTAAGCGGTACCTTATGGCGCTAGACCCTATCCTAGGAGTTCTGTGTGCATAGCCTCATTCGATCTCCATCACGGCCCTGAGACACAGATACTGTTAGATCATCTATGTCCAAGGTCACACAGCTGATAAATGCTAAGCCACAATCTGAACTGCGAAAATCTGAGCTATGACATTTCACAATGCAAACGCATTTCAGTTGTGATATATTGTGGCCAACTTTTAACCCCTGTGCTATTTATTTCCTTTGGTGAAAGAATAAAAGGAAACAGACCAATGCTGACTGTAGTAAGACATAGCTTTTAGGACTATAGGAAGAAATATTATGGTCATATAATTAATACATTTTCCTTTTGTCCTCCAGAAAGAAGAAATTATCAAAATTATTTTTGAGATATGTGGTAAGATTTGACTGTCAAGAAGAGAATCATCACTTTAAAGTACCAACCCTACTATGTTCTGTGTTGGTCAAGATAAATGTGGTCACCCGGAGATGTAGATGATACAGCTCATGGGAACGTTTGAAGCTCTTTTGAAAAGTCAATGAGAAATGGCAAGAAGCAGTGAGAGAGGCTATAGGAATCCTGATTTAAAAAAAGAAATCATCTTCCCAGGGTGGTTCAGAAGAGTGAAGATACTGGCCCTGGAGTCTGTGGGCAGCCAGGCCTTTTGTGAGCACAGAGCTCATTTGTAATCAGTGACATTTACCTGAGCTTGGGAAGGAAAAAACAACAAAAGAAATATAACCACAGGGGCCTAACTGGTATTTGAATCCAGCCTGGCTGGTGATTATATTGTCTGTGTTTTTCCTGAAGCAAGAAGTCTCTCTGAGTGGAGTTTTAAGCACTATTTCTAGAGCGCATTTCATTTCAGAGGCAGGCCGACAGAGTCAGGAGGTCATCTTGCTTCAGAGCTCCATCTAAATGCTTCTATGGCTAAATATGATTGACTTAAAATAGAATTAGCAGAAAGAGGAAGAAAAGAGATTAGCCAAAAGGCAAGAGATTAATAGACTAATGAAGATAAGAGAAACTTGTGTGTTTCAAACAGACAGAGGCAGAAACGTCTTTGTTTTTCCTTACAGAGAACCCCTGAACTGGCTTGTCCCCCAAAAGACCTCTGGGCTTTAAGAACCCACTTGGGACTCTGTATGGTGACAGGCCAATTTAGACGTGGCTTCTGAGTTTTAGAAGCCCTGTAAATATAACACCAAGTTTCCTCATGATTTTTTGTGGTAGGGTTGTTGGGCAACCTGAGGATATGAATAAACCAATGGAGCCCTGATAGTTCTTATTTCCTGGTGACTCTAACGATTGCTTTGAATGGTAAACCCTAAATAGAAGGTGTTTATTGACCAGCATTCTGAGATCATTCTCCTTAAAAGGTTTCATAGTATGGATGCACTGTTGGCCTCACTGAGCCAGCTTAGCGGTCACTGTGAGTGACTCGAGACATAAACTTGAGTAGCTGGGGACAGCTATTCTTGTGAACAGTTACAGGTCCTAATCCCTCCCCCACGATTAAACATTTTCAATCCATCACTTTACCCACTGCTGATGCTAATGAGCAAATAGCAAATCTCACAGAAGGATATGATTGAAGACTAAAATAGTAGCTTTCAGATTCAGTTTCAATACAAATGCTGGAAGGATAAAGAGCAAACTGAGGATAGGGTGATCTCTTAGGAAGAGGGAGAAGAATGTCATCAGGAAGGCATACACAGGGATGCCATCTCTTTTAAAAATGTATTTTTTTTAATCGGAGAAATTGGCACATAGCTGTTCGTTATTTTATCTTCTACGGTGTTTTGGTGGTGGGGGGGTTTGTGGGGTTGTTTTTGCAGTATACTATTTTTTTTAAAGTCAGATATAGAAACCAGAGGGGGACAGTTGTTAGCTATGTTAACACTCACAGAGAAGGAAAGTAATAATCCAGGTCTCTGGTTCATCCCTGCCCCTCTCTCATACCAATCAGTAAGTTTTTATTTTCATTCATGCAATGTTTCTACCTCAACATGCATCTTTTAGGTTGTGGGCCCAAATGCAGAGAGACTCCTCTAGAACTGTTGTTTGTGATCGACAGCTCTGAAAGCGTGGGGCTGGAGAACTTCCAGATCATCAAAAATCTTGTGAAGACTCTGTCTGACCAGGTTGCTCTGGACCTAGCTACGGCCCGCATCGGCATAATTAACTATAGCCATAAGGTGGAGAAGGTGGCCCACTTGACACAGTTCTCCAACAAGGATGACTTCAAGCTGGCTGTGGACAACATGCAGTATCTGGGGGAAGGCACCTACACGGCCACAGCACTCCATGAAGCCAACCACATGTTTGAAGCTGCAAGGCCAGGTGTAAAGAAGGTGGCCTTGGTCATCACTGATGGGCAGACAGATACCCGAGATGAAAAGAATCTGACAGAGGTAGTGAAGAAAGCCAGTGACATGAATGTGGAAATATTTGTGATTGGGGTAGTGAAGAAAAATGACCCCAACTTCGAAATGTTCCACAAAGAAATGAATCTGATTGCTACTGACCCAGATAGTGAGCACATTTATCAGTTTGATGACTTTATTACCCTGCAAGGTAAGACTCAGTATCAGGTGAAAGGAGTTGATGTTATTGCTCCAAGTACCACATCACTGGATTATTCTGACCAAAAATGGAAATCAGTAGGAGGCTAATGAGGCTTACACCAACATTTAATTGAACACATAAACTCCGGAAGGTAAAACACATTTACCATCAATCCAGTTTAGAGAGTATAATCTCTTGTCTTTATTCATTTGGAATAAGTGCTGAGTTGGCCTTGGAGTTTGTTAACTGAGCTATCATGGTTGAGGATATGGTTAAAAAGAAAGAGTAGGATTGGGGATATTCTAAGGTAATGTTCAAAAAGTTACCTAATTGCATAAGAGATGCAGTAAGCCAATAGCAAGGCAGAAAATAACCATGGAAGCAAAGTGAATTAAGAAGTACACAGGGAATGAAAAAAAGTTATGGTAATCTAAAGAGATGAGAAATACAATAACTGGGATTATTCTATTCTAGTCTCTGTTCTATTTCCTATTCTCTGCTCTTAACAAAATATGAAGATAATGAAGAATAAACAGGTGGATATCAGGAGTTTATCTTTTTTTTTTTAAGTTTATTTATTTGAGAGATGGGGAGGGGGAGGGAGAGAGAGAGAGAGAGAGAGAGAGAGAGAGAGAGAGAGAGAGAATCCCTAGCAGGCTCCATGCTGTCAGTGCAGAGCCTGATGTGGGGCTCAATCTCAAAAACCATGAGATCATGAACTGAACCAATATCAAGAGTTGGATGCTTAACCAACTGAGCCACCCATGTGCCCCAGGAGTTTATCTCAAAGTACAACATTGTGAATAGTCATCATGCTACTCTGATGGGCTTCCCTCTATTACTTTACTCTTTCACATGAACTGATATTTTCCAGTGAGTCATTCTAAGACACTAACTCATCTACAATTGCAGTAGGGTCAGTATTGTTTCACAAGCAATATTCCAATTCTTTGGAAACTGATAACTCATTCCAGCTTAGGAAGTAAGTAAAACATATGCTTAATCTGTTTGCAGTCTTAGGTTTGGCTCCCTCTTTCCTTCTCCACCCATCTTGGAGCGGGGTCTGACGTGGCCTAACACAGACTTTCTTTGCCTCATGCTGCTCCTGGCCTACTCTGGGTCCTAGCATAGCTCACCAGAAGAATAGCATGCCTCACTCAGAACCTTCTTTCTTTCACTTTCTCCCTTTCTCCAGGCCTTTCGAACCTGGGGTTTCATTTCCTTAACACACACTGCAGGGTGACTGGTGGGTTTATCTCACATAGTCAATATCACTGGGCTATTAATGTGTTAGAATGTCCATAAATATGACACATTTCAGACATATTATGTTTTGATAATTAAGAACTTTATCATCTTAACCAAAGGAGTTAGACTTCATTCCAGCCAATGAGGGATATATTTTTGGACTGGCTGGCCTTTTGCTATCCCTAAAACCAGAGATGACTGGCTATTATACTTCTTATGGGTAGAACTTGCCCCTTCCACAGAATAGTTCAGCTAACTGATGCTTTGGATAGCAAGGATTTAAGTCATTCTTTTGCGTACTTTAGGTTGTTGTACGTTATTAAATTAAATTGAATTATTTTATCTTATTATTTTTGAAAGTTTATTTGTTTTGAGAGAAACAGTGCAAATGGGGGAGGGGTAGCAAGAGAGGGGGAGAGAGGGGCGCCTGGGTGGCTCAGTCGGTTAAGCATTCGACTTCAGCTCAGGTCATGATCTCGTGGTTTGCAAGTTCAAGCCCTGCATGGGGCTCTGTGCTGACAGCTCAGAGCCTGGAGCCTGCTTGGGATTCTGTGTCTCCCTCTCTCTCTGCCTCTCCCCCACTTGTGCTCTGTGTCTCCCTGTCTCAAAAATAAATAAACATGAAAAAAAAAAATTTAGAGAGAGAGGGAGAGAATCCTAAGCAGGCTCCACACTGCCAGCACAGAGCTCCATGTGAGGCTCAAACCCACGAATCATGAGATCATAACCTGAGCCAATACGAAGAGTTGGGCTTAACAGATTGAGCCACCCAGGCACCCCAAAGTGAATTATTTTAGATGGCCTCTTATAGGTGAGGCCCAAATGCTTTAAAACTTAGTTCACCGAGCAGTTGACTTCAAGTGATGTGAAAATGTCTTTTTATTTTAAGCAAAGTGTGGAAGATCTCTTTAAACATATTTTGTTCCCACTCTCCCCCCCTTTTATACTTCTCTTTTAAAAGACACCCTGAAGCAAAAAGTGTTTAAAAAGAAGTGTGAGGATTTTGATTCCTACCTCATTCAAGTTTTGGGTTCTCCACTACTTCAACCTGGGTTGGGGATATCAGAGGAAGAACTTGGTGGATCCACTCCAGAGCCTCAGGAAGAAATTTCAGAGTCCGTGAGTAACTGTCATGCCTAATTTGTGCCTAGCTTAAAATTGTGTATTCTGCTTTACATCAAAGACCATCTTGCCCTGCAGTGGCAAGAATCAACTGAGGGAGGGATATGTATTTTCAAGTCCTTGACTATAAATAGTAGTACTTTTGTCTTCATATATCTAGTTCTGAAACAGCTCTGGGGCTTGTGAACATGAATATGATTTTTTTTTTTTTTTATTTTTTTTTTTTTCAACGTTTTTTATTTATTTTTGGGACAGAGAGAGACAGAGCATGAATGGGGGAGGGGCAGAGAGAGAGGGAGACACAGAATCGGAAACAGGCTCCAGGCTCTGAGCCATCAGCCCAGAGCCCGACGCGGGGCTCGAACTCACGGACCGCGAGATCGTGACCTGGCTGAAGTCGGACGCTTAACCGACTGCGCCACCCAGGCGCCCCCATGAATATGATTTTTAAAAATGTTTCCATATTTTATAAGTAATTATTTATTGAGTGCTACAAGTAATCTTTTTGTAGTGTACCCCAGCTACCACCAAAGAAATCGTGCACACTATTAGGACAGATTAACACTACACTATTTTAATCACCCAGTTGCCTTGCTCTGTGGATCCTTTCGTACAGGTTACAAGTCCCCCTCATCCTTCTGTGTATATGCTCCCCACTCTGCATCCTCGCAAGTTTCTTCTACGTGTGCACATGCTCAACCTGCCATTTGCCATGATCCAAGCCCTGCTCTTGCTCATTTAGCTTCCACCTCCTGTGCTCAGAGTGGGGATGGGGTGGGAGGCTAAGCATCTCTATGGTACAAGGTGGATGCTCTGTTTCAGAGTTCCTCAATCACATGTGCGAGAAAGAACTGCCCCCTGAATGTGCTGAGACAAATATGACAATCCCCATAGCAAGCTTCTGGGCACTGACCTCAGCCAATCAGGTCAGGAGCAATAGCTGTTAGGTTCTTTTAGGTGAAAATTAGAGAGCCTGCCATAATTACTGGTAAAGGAGTGCTGTGGTCTCTTCCCCACCAAGTTACAATTGAAGCAGGGCTGATTGATCCCTACCACACATATGGACATCTCCTAGCAAGAGGCACACAGGTGTCATACTATTCTGTGAGCTCAGTGAAGTCCCTGTGCTGTGCTTTAATGAAAGGACATGAAATATTCATTATTAGCAAATGCAGTAATATTCTAGCATCAGGATTCAATTAACTATCTAGTTGGACTAAGGCTCTGAGAAACCTCCAGATTACTAGCTGGACCCAGAACCATTCAGATGGCCTAGGTTGCCATTCCTAAGGGGACAGACTATAGGACTCACTGGATTTTTACACTCTGTTCAAAAAAGGGTATAAAAGTCTCTAACATATTTTTATTTGATTAAATACTGACTCCAAGATGAGTAATTCCAGTGAGAGCAATAGAGTGCCCCTGGATTGCAGATTGAAATTCACATACACATTTATACCATATGGTCTATATCAGGGGTCAGCAAATTCTGTAAAGGGCCACATAGTAAAATTATTTACTTATTTATTTTTGGTTCTGCATGTCATTTGATCTCTTTTGCAACTACTCAGCCCTGCCTTTGAAGTGCACAAGCAGCCATAGCCAATACTTAAGTGAACCAACGTGGCTACATTCAGATAAAAGTTGTTTCTAAAAACAGATGAAAACTTGGATTTGGCCCATGGGGTTTGCCGATTCTGGTCTTCACTGAGCATTTAAAAGTAAATTACAGACAAGAAAGTACACAGTTTATCTCTTCCTGAGCATAGAATGCTCCTGGGGCCTTGCCTGCTTGTGTGACTTACCACTTTGTCCCTTCCCTACTCAATCTTCTGAAGATTTCCTATATGAGAGCAAACTCAGGTTTGATTCAGCAAGTGGCACTTAAACCCTGAACTCTCCTTGTAATCAATGAATTCCATAGTACGTATTGATCATTTACCACTGTATGAGGTGGTGGCTCTTAAGACACAGTTTCTGCCCAAGAGAAGTCCATGGCCTATCAGGAATATGGAACATGCAAGAATTATTAAGAACTTTAGCAGAGCTGTGGGTGAGGCACAAAAGATGTTGCAGTTAATTTCAGAGTAAAGGAAGAATTTACAGAGGAAGTGGCATTGAGCTGAGTTTTAAGGATAAGTAGGAGTTTCTCAAGAAAAGGGTAGGGGGAAGGGTATTTCCAGCAGAGGGAACATGTGGGCAAAGGGGGATTCCAAAAGGCATGGCATTTTAAGGCATTAGGACAGGTTCAGTCTAACTGGAGCCTAAGACGTGTGTGGAAGAATGGTGAGTGTTACAGCTGGACGTTACACACGTCATGTGGCAGGTGAAGGAGCTTGAACTTCATCTGTAGGCCAGGCAGCCAGGAGAAAGCAGAGGAGTTTCTAAAGTGAGGGTCGTATGGTCATGTTTGGTTTGCATGGGGAATAACCCTGTTGCAGCACAAAGGAGAAGTAGAAGGAGGAGGAGGACAGGAGATTGGAGTGGAGCTGTGAGATCCTGTGATGGTCCACAAGAGAGGTAATGAGGCCCTGAACTAATGCAGGGTGGTCGGAATGAAACCAGGCATAGAGTAGAAGTCATTTCTGGGGTAGAATTTAGTGACTGGATGGATTGGAACTTAACCAGCTGGATTTCTAATTTGGATTTGGAGTGAACTGAAACACCATCTGCTGAGATGGAGGCTATAGGAGGCAAATCTCACAAATTGTGAGATCATGACCTGAGCCAATAATTAAGAGGTGGACGCTTAACCGACTGACTTACCTAGGTGCCCCATGGTGGGGTATTTTGAGGAAAATAATGAGCTAAGTTTGCTCCAGGTAAAGTGGAGGTGCCTGAGGGACCTCCAAGGCACTTACAACACAGAATGAAGGACAGCAAGCCCCTCTGCCTCTGCTATCACTACCCAGGAAGTTAGAGGGACCTGAGAAACAAATGATGTTAACAGATTATGACAGATGAAGCAGTCTAGTAGTTGTGGAGGGGAGGGCATAAGAAAAGTGCATCCAAAATGGTTTGGATTTATAACACCAAGCACCACATAAAGGGAAACTGAGGCTCAGCTAGGCTCTCCTAGGGTGCCTCTGAGCAAGATAGTGAAGCTTGCAAAGGTCTTGAGCTTCTAGCCCTTATCTCTAGACCTTCTCACCCTGGCTCTCTTTGCAGAAGCACCAAGGCAAGATTGAAGTTTTAAACAATAAATGTTCCTAATAGATTTTAGACTGAACAAACATATCTGCATTTATATTCATAGCTCTGTCATGTGCATATATAATGTACACACACATAAATACAAAAACATACTTATATACCTATGCATGCACACCCACCTTTATCTTAAAGCATAATTACAAAAATAAATAAATAAATGTATAATTACAAGAATCCAAACATGTAATGTGAATCTGCCCAAACCTTTCGATTCTCAGATTGTTCCCAAGCCTACCCCTAGGCAATCCTGTAAAACAAATGATCCCAGAAGTCTTATTTCTGTTACTGTGTCTGTATTTCTTTTCTCTGTTGCCTCATTACCCCTTACAGCATTTACTTCTGGACTTCCTTCTTCTCTTCTTTCTATCAAAATCTGTTCTTAGAGAAAAGTCTAGTTATTTATACATTTGTGTCAACTCTAAGTCAATGGGTTTCCACCTCCAAGAAGGACTTACATTTTAAGCATTGCATCTTTTTGTGGAGTGAATGTGAGGCACACTACACATCTGTGAACAGGTGGGTTGGGAAATGTAGAAAGCAGGTGCATTTCCCAGGTTCTACTAAATCCATAACCCTTCGGCAACCCCTGCTCTGTTGCTCTCTTAGGCCAGTCTTGGGAAGCTAAACATGGGCATCCATTCTAGTCTGTTCCTCTCCTGAGATCTCAGGATAATGGATTCTTTCTTTGGAGCTGATTACATTTTACATTGTTAATAATTATTTATGCATATACCTTAACTCTCCTAATGGATTGAACTTCCTTGAGAACATGATCTGTGTCTAAATAAATGTTGTGTCCCACTTATGACTCAAAACTGTGCTTCATCTTTCATACAATAGATGCCCAATAAATACTTGTTGACCAAATGAATGCTATGCCAAATGTTAGGCTAAAAAAGAAATCTCAAATTTTTCTTCAATGAAAGGCATCAATTATACTGTTTTTAAAAAAATCCTTATCTTTCACGGGACTAATAATGTTGACACTCATGTTCCTTTATTCTTTCTGGGCATATTCAGTTAGGTTAAGATTTCCAAGATAAAAATGTGAGTGGGGCAATAAAATCAAGGACACATTATTTAGTCAGACCAACTGATTATACCCAGTAATGGTTCATTAAGCAAATAAGCATATTAATTTCCTGCATGAAGTCACTTTTTGTCATTCTAAATGTATTAATAAACTAATGTCAACACACAGGTTGTTTACTCACTGGAGCTGGTTTCTTATAACAATATTCTAGCTTTTTTTTTCCAGTTGAAAGAGTAGAAACGAAAGAAGCCCTGTGTACCCTTTCCTTAAAGCTTCTTTCTGTACCATGAAAATTTGTTCCCTGATTGCCAATAACTTGGATAACTGGCAGCAGAGATATATTCCTCTTGGTGGAAAGGAGGCTGTGGGATTCCTATGTAGGGTGCTTCCACAGCAAGCCAGTGAAGGGGGAGTCAAGCTAGTGTGGGAAGGGTGCCTCTGGGTAGCTCTGTACCAGGAGGAAGTGGGAAGTTGGGAGTCTTCTCGCCTTTGTTCTCATCAGGAGATGCAGTCCAACGCCAGGATGCAGGCCCCTCATTTCCATGGAGGAAATGTACACCTATTGATGTAAATGATGTAAATGGCAAACTAACATAGCAGGCTGATGGCTGGCCGTCCCGCCCTCTCACTGTCCACCCTTTCAGTGAGACCCTGTCCCTGGTCCCCATCCCACTTGCCTCATCACTCCCCTCATGTCCATCTCATTTTCACTCTTGCTGGCTCTCCCATCTCTTACCCTCCTTTCCCTGCA